GGGGGGGGGGGGGGGGTCAGTATGGGGATATGGGTATATGAGGTGGTCCAGCTGTGTTCATGGCTCTGTGTATGTGTCCGTATGTACAGTACATGTACCTCTGGTGTTAACACTACAGTGAAATGTTTTCTTCTATACCAAAGTGTAAGAATTTTACAAATAAATGGGCAGATTTTAATCACACCATGTGCTACTGCAGGTGACAGCATCTTTTTGCATAGGTGTGTTGATGTTTGGATCTTTGTGAATTATATTTTGCTCAAAGCAGCAGTTTGATCAACAGATTTATGTGCCTCTCATGGCTGCTTATGTGTCAGCTGTGTTTACTGCAATCCTTTTTCTTCTCTAGTACAAACCGTGTTGATGACCTTGTTTACCACATTTCATGATACTGAAATAGAATCTCAGCTTGCACCGCCTATGTGCTGAAACTGCTGAATGTTTTAAAAAAACAGCAGTATATTTAAACAATGTGTAACTGTGTGCACATGTATCTTCAATCAGCAAGCAGAGGAGGACAACGAGCAGAAAAGGAGGCAAGAGCAGATTATGATGGAGAAACTTCTGGAACAGGAGGCCATGATGGAGCAAAACCAGAAGGTAAGATCACTTCTTCCTTCCCAACACTCCACCCCCTCCTCTTTATCTTATCATTCCCTCCCTCCCTATACCCTCCTCCCCCCTGCTTTCTAGGGCAGGAGGCTACAGTGGATCACCAGAAGGTAAGCTGGTTCCACTTCCTCTCCTTCTGTTTCATCCTCCCTACTCCTGATCGCAGGATTAGTTGAGCACCGACCGCCCGCGGGGTGTAGTTATATTTGGTTCTACAGTCTGACACCCTGCTGAGTCACAGCACATCCACTCAGGATCAATTATTACTCCTAAATTGCTCATTTAACTCACATTTGCACAAATGTATAGAGTAAAGGCATCGAGCTAAAAGAAATTGGGGGTGTGGATTGCACTGCACCCATCATGACTGAGAGTAAGACTTATAATAGAGGTTAATTAATGTCTGTGTGTATCTGTGTGTGTGTGCCTCGTTCCCAGTCTCCATCTCATAAGAACAAGCGGCAGCAGCAAGAGCTGATCCAGGAGCTCAGGAGGAAACAGGTGAAAGACAGCCGCCACGTCTACGAAGGCAAAGATGGAGCGATTGAGGACATCATCACGGGTAACTTCACCTGGGCCTGGTCGCAGTCTCTTGCCCCCACACACGAACACACACACACACACACACACACATACACAGGGCGCTCTGCATGAAGGTACTCTCCAGTGCTATACATTAAGTCATTAACAAAGGGATTCTACACTAACACAATGACTTTGGCTCTTTCAAAATTCAGCTGTCAGATGTTTGAGAACTAAAGGTATAACCTAATGAGTACAAACATGCACTGACAGTCCAGCTAATCCAGTGACATTCAGCTCAAATGTGTCTGATGATCATTGCTTATCTTATCTGCTTTGTCATTGCTTTGTAACACCATCTGTATGTAGACAGGGCCGGGCTGTGACTAGCTCCTAGAATATAAGTGAATCTGAAGGGAATAAATACATCTTCTGTTTACTTAAAAGTGATGAAACTTGCCATAGGCAGTGGTGGAATTTATCTAAGTAAATTTACTCAAGTGCTGTATTTAAGTACAGTTTAGAGGAACTTGTACTTAATATAATAGAATATATATATATATAAAAATATATTTTATGCTACTTTACTACATTTCATACACAAATATTGTAGTTTTTCTCCACTACATACTACATATATTTGACCTCTAGCCTAACCAATACAGGATTTTTTGAAGAAGTCACGATATATTGACCAATTCTAAGAATTTTTTGAAATAAACACAAACTTAACACAGTTTCTAAATGACTTCAAACCTAGTTTGAGCACTTCTGTACAGCAATTCTTGTTACTTATGGCAAACATTTACACTGATGTATATCTGCAAAAGGTTAATATTGGCTGATATTATGATTTACTTAGGACAATAAAACAAAACGATAAAATGTGATGAACTAATCCAGTGCATTAGGTTGTTTTATAGCCGTTGTAGTATGTGTTACGTCAACCAGCTATGACATTAAAATGCTATTTGCATATTAACACATTAGTATTGATAGAATAATATGACTACCACATTTTCTTGTTAGTACTTACTGTTATGGTAATTTTAGTGTTTTTACATTGAGATATTGTTACTTTTACAAAAAAAAATGTAATATTTTTTCCACCACTAGCCACAGGAATAATGTGCCTCTAGTGTTAAATTCCTGAATTGAAATCCAAATGGATCCAAATCTCTGTAATATAAATTTGCTATAACCTAACAAAGCCAAATGAAGTTTATAGTAGAG